GAAAATATATTTTCAGAGAAAGATTGAATAATGAACATGAAGATGGTTGCCTACAGGGTAGTCACAAACATACCTGTTTTAGGCTGCTGAGGAAAAGAATGAAGTTATTTTGAGCACAAGTTTTAAGGGAAGTTACTGTGCAAGAAGAATGTGTTGTCCTCCTATTGGTGGAGGGCTATTGTCGTATGACGACGTCATCATGCACTAGCACAGTTTACATTAAACATGTGATTTTTAGGTGTGAGTTAGCTCAAAGCTAGTGGCATGTAAGTCTCATTGGCAGATACTCGGAGAATGAAGCTATTCTGTGTGATGAGGTGAAGTATCATCTCGGAATTTACAGATTTTCAATGTTGTACTTCTGTAGTGTTGAAAGGAATTCCTAGAATGGGATCAGTTATAAAACAAAAATACTATTTGAAACAGAAACATGACACTGTTAGGTATGTTTCTTTTTTCTTCCAACTAACTTATAACTTACTAGATTCTGAAATTAAAATCTCCATGTACACACATTCAATGCTTCCCTTTAGGTTTAAAATTAGCTGTAGAACCATGTATTAATTTTCAAAGGAAAATGAAACTGAATATATTAAGCTTTTGACTATAAAAACTGCTTCAAATAACACAAAGAAGAAAATATGTTTTCAAAGAACAACATCAGTCATCTATGTTTTACAGTAAAACAAAGTTCCGATACAGTGTTCAAAATAAGTGGTTTCTGGTTGTCCGAGACAACCGGAATTATTGCTGGACAACTCAATTGCATTACTACGTTGTTTGTAGGACAACTGCAGCATGGCCCGATCCCATGGCAGTTTAGGCATTTAGCCAATAATGGCACATTCAGAGTACTATATAAATTATGAATAGTATTTTTATGCACACCATGTTTACATTTCCACAGAGACATGATCATCAAAACTGCACACATTATTTACTAATAAGTATGTTTATTATAATGCTTTGCAAACCTGCCAAAATTTATGATCAGTAATGGATCGCTACTCAAAAGACTTTGATAACACCATTTTCCACCAATTAAATTTTCCATGTTTTGATACATTAGACTTAGATACCATCTGCAATGTAAGTTGTGGAACTGGAAAGGCTAAGTAAGCTTTACTTTAAATTTGTGTCAATTGTGAGGCCAATTGTGAATACAATTAAAACAAACTCAAAAGAATGCTCCAAAGTTCCTGGCAAAGTGGACATCTGTGGTTGAAGTATAACAAAGAGAAGTTCATAAAGTTCCTCAATAAAATCAGGATTTTCTATCAACTAATGAGCTTTCTAGTGTGATATTTGATTTTTTAAAAATGTAACACCAAGTTTGTAATTTTTATTAGTTTACTAACATGTTCATTCAAGTGTGGGCAACTATAATTTGTCAAACAACCATAATTGGCTCGAAGATTGTCTGTTGGACACCAAGTCTGTTCATCTTATTTGAAACACTATTGCTTCAGTATTCAAAAATACATTATATAGTGTCAAAATATAGTATGTTTCAGCTAACTATCTCTTTTAAAACTTTAAAGCAGAATAAAGCTATGATACTAAAATATAACCCTGAATAGGTGTATCAATATTACACACACACACACACAAAACTGCAGATGTTATAACTAGAACTCAACAATGAACAAGTTATGCTGAAATAAATATTTATACAAATTTTAAAAATAAACTGGATACTATCTATTCATTACTTAATTCAAATTTATATACATATAGGTTTCAATAATATAATGTAGACATACTGTTATTTGAATCCTTCAGTTCAAGCAATTTATCGAATTAGCTAAGAGTAAATGTGAACAGATAGCTAAAACCTTCTAAAACATATTTAAATTCCCCAGCATAAATGACAATATTAAGGATTTATAATGTACACAAAAATGAATTTCATTATGGTATTTATCTGGTGTACACAAGTGTGGTACTTGCTCATAAAAGTTGTAACGAGAAACAAGCCTGCTAGTCGTTCTGTACATTTGAATATGCTATTGGTTGTGTTAAGAGTATTGTTTCACTTTAACTTGAAAGTAGATATCATGGCTCATGGAATTAGCTTTTACTTGTGGTAAAAAAAAAAGGTTCATTCGCACCTCCCAACTCCAGTGTAAATAATCACAAGAGTAAGCATAAGGAAATGGGGAAATAACTAGATCTCTCAGTTATTAACATTTCCTGGAGAAGAGTGAAGCACACAAGAAAGAACTGTGTCATGGATACATTTTTCAAACATGTGAGTATTAGAGATGCACGACATCGAATTGCACAGAGGACGAGAAAATTATGAGAAGTGGTAGATACGTGTTGGAAAAGTGATGTTAAATTTTTGTCTATAAAACATAACAGAAGTTTAAACACTCTGAGCAGCGATTTTTAAATTGAACACCACCAGGTTTCATTTTCTTGATAATAATGATGCTACTACTGTATGTCTAGTTTCACTCATATGAAAGGTTCCACATACAAGATATCATGTACACTATGTTAAAAATTAAACAGCTGGTTCATTGTTCATAAACTTAACTGTGTACACAACAGTGCACGGATAAAAAACAAAAAGGATTGAGAATTAACATTCTGTGGCCCAACATGAGATAAACAGTAACAAATGGAAGTTTATAACCAAACTTAAGGCACAAGAAATTATAAAATGAAAAAAGGAGAGGTTAGTTAACAAATGTTCAAGTTAATAGTAGGTAAGGCAATAACTTTTTTTTTTTTTATGAGGATATATTTGTTACAACCTGAAAAGTACATGTTAGCAAATGTTTACCCACTGAAATCACTATGTATTGAATAGTTATTTCTTTAGACAAAAGAAAGAAAAAAGAGATTACTGATATTTAAATTTTTTCGAACTCACTATATACTGTACTATATTGATTAAAAATTTTCATTATTACAGCACCAAGTATTAATTTTGATGGACTGTTTTTGTAGAATACATTTTCTCTGTGATAAAGATGTCAATTAAAAAGGCTTTATGCTGTTTAAATATGGCCTTGTAACTATCCAGCTTAGGAACTTAGCAAGATTCATTTTACTGTCATAAAACATTAATTGTCACTGAGTAAGACTACATCTGGAAAAATACCACCCCTCATCAACAAACTTGAACAAAGACAGATCAAAGAACAAAATAAACAGGTGAAAACAGTCTGAAATCGTAAGAACATCATATGAAAATTTTAGGAGTTTAGTTATGCTTGACATAATAGGGTTAATTAAAAAAAAATGTACCTTATAATTATACAAGTCTACTTACTTAAGTATTTCCATAATAAAATACTTCTGGGAAATGCTGATGAATTGCAGTGAAAGATCTAAAACTGAAACTCGCATGCTAACTGAAAAGTTTGAAGTTAAGCCTAACATTGCTGAAAGAATTGGATTTTATGTTTTGGATTGAGCGACTCAAAAACTGACATTATTACTTCTCTTACTGTATTGTAATAGTAAGATTTTTAAGAATGCAGCACAGATATAGGAAAATGGAATATTTATTATCATTTATTGATTGTATGAGGTTCACACTATTCCTGTGTGAAATTTAAAACCCAAGTATAGAAACTGCAAAAAATAAAATAAATGGTTCACTGTTAAATCACCATTAAACACAATTTTAGGACTACAAAAAAAGGAGCCATACAGAAGTTTTTCTGTTGTCGTTTGAAAGTACACATACTTTTAGACTAATGGTGTTGACATAGGTGAAATTAAAGGACTTTTTTTAAGGCTTTAATTACAACTGCTGCATAATGACAGATATATGTCACTATTAATGATGCTTGGATTGTCAAGACAATATCATCTTACCCCACTTGTCTCCATAAAAGCTTCCATCTTCCTGTTGTAAATTTTTCACATAATCAACCACACCAGAAATATCAATTACATCAAGGGCATCATAGATGGTAAGTATCTAAGTAGGTAAAGAAGCAAATTAATACCTCAAAGCTTCCTACAGTGTCCAATAAAAACAATTATCAAACTATGGTATAAACCTAATTCTGTACTTGATCAATTTGGCCTTACTCTATATATGAACTTTTATTGACTTTATGCGGTGGCGATACTGCTAAATAAAAAAGTGCCAGAATGCACAATCTACTACATAATCATGTAAAGTTGGATTCATTCAAAATAGTGGCAGCACGGAATTCTGGCTAAAAAAAAAAGTACAGGTACACTGTGCCCACACGTTTCTGCCACACTATACCTCTGACCTTATAAAGATTGTGACTTTCTTAAAAAACCTTAGTATTTTTTTAAGAGGTACAAATGGAATTAACTTTTTTTTCTTTAACAACACCAAAAACCTAAGCTTGTGTTAATAGCAGCCATATGTTACAAATATATTTTAGGTGGATACAATTGTTCAAGCAAATATTACTTACAATATAATTTTCTCAATATTGACAAGTCCAATCTTGCATCTATAGCAATCCACTTGAATATATACTATACAAAAAAAATTACAACTTTCTACTGTATTCAGTCTGCTCTAAACTATAGCCACTCAAACAAGTTTAGGTTTTTCTTCCAAAAAATAAGCTCAACCAACCAAATGAAACAATGGTAATTGACAAAAATTTAAAGTAAAATATTTCAAGATCAATCATTAGTTATTTACTAAAAATCTTAAAGAATATTTTCTCTTCTTGCATAAACAAGTCGTTTGTTCACTGTCATAAAAAACAACAACAACAACTGAATGTGAAACTATTTCGATTGTGAAAACACTGTATTAATAAAAAAAGATATTATACAAATAAAATGACCTAAAAACTAAAAATTGTTTGTTCTTCAAAACGAGATAATGATGAAGAAAAGAACACTCCTTCAAAAGCATTTGAATCTTTAGGGTAATTTCTTTATTGGTTGATTTAAGTAACTTTATGCCTTATAATGTTATATTATTTCATTATATCCATATATAAATTAATGATATCAGCATACCTGCACAGCACTCAATGTATACAGAAGATGAGGATCATGACCCTTGCTGGCTCCAATACCTCCACACACATGCTGACATTCCCGAACAAAATCTAGAATCTGTTGTTTGTCCAGAAGATCCAAACTTCCCATCAAATCCATTGCTGTCATTCCCCAGTAAATTCCACTCATTCTTAGATATTCTGTCATGCAGTATTCCTTAATGAGACAGTTACATGTATAGTACACATGCTTTGGTACAAGCTGCATGTCATTACAGTTCACAATACAATGCTTCAACTGCAAGTGTGTTATATATATATAATTGAAATATATGCCAGTACTGTGCAAAAACTACCAAAAAGTATTACAGTTCTGTTTAACATTTAACTTGTTGCTAATGGTTTACTTTTGCTCAGTGACAGAATTGTAACAAGCTAGTACAACAAACAAACATGATAATTCTAATAGTTGAAGAAGTTTTTTAATAGTCAATTATTTTTCATGAATTAAAGAAAAAAGTTATTAAATGTATGAGTGGGAATACTTACATAATTGTCTTTTTTGACCCCATATGCTGATAAATAGTCTTGATGCTTTTTTAAAAGCAAGAGTTTTGTTGAGTTTTCTGAAATTATGACATCCTTTGTAAGCATGTTCTAAAAAGAGAAACAATAAATATTGTAACTTTTAACATATTCAATCTTTTTGACCTGTCTTACACAAATTGCATTAGCTAAACACTCATGTTTATATACTTTTAATTGTGAAAGGCTTACAGTAGCTTTTCCCCTAGATCTATTATTCAAGATTTGATAAGATTTTTTATAGTACAGAATTAATATTAAAAAAAATGAAAAATAATTAGTATAATTTGCCATTTAAAAGGTTGTAATATTTCATTGGTTAAATTCTTCACTTCATACCGAGCCACTGTTGAATAGGTGATTAAAGCTTGAAACTATCGGTCTTGTTAAGAGGGATAATCAGCATTTAGCTACGTGAGACAAGGAAATAATAAGACTGTGATACTCTTTGATGTAAAGGGCTGGAAAATGAAAAATACATTCCCTTATTCATTCAATGTATATATATATATTTATAACTCTGGTGAAAATTCTGTGGATGCTCATGTTTTCTCTTGTAACACTACTGTGTTGATTCCGATCAAGGTAGTAATTACAGTTTAAGTTAAGGTAGTACACATACATTACCTTACACTTACCATAATTAAATGTCAGCTGCCACATATTTCCCCAATAAAGCAAATGATCCAAATCTTTTTGTAAAGTAACAGCATCTTCTGCTTATTACATATTGAGAACAGAAGGGTAGGATACGATTTTAATAAAGTTTACAAGGTTATCTGAGGTATCAATAGCATAATAGTCTCTTATTTCTTTGTGCTGTATTCTGAAGACCACAGAATGAGAAGACAAAGGTTTATGATTAGAAAAAAAAAAGACTTACGTTGAGAAAGTTTTATTTTTTAACAAGCTCATGGAATAATTTACTATAAGAAGTAGTGCAAGTTAGCACTAAATAGGAAATTATGAGGGGAATAGATATCTATAAAAAAAAATGTTTTGAATTTTTACTTTTCTTAATAGTAGGCAAAAAAAAAAAAAGACAGCCTTTAAGGACTAAACAGTCCCTTATCCATTTATTAACATTAAATATCCAACATAAACAGAGAAAACTGAGAGTTAGAAAAGCCTAAAAATCTCTATCACTCTTTGGTAATCAACCAATTTAAAAGTGAGTGTAAATAAAAACTGCACAAACTAAATAAGTTATAAAAACAAAGACAGTCCCAATTTAGTAGTATTATTAAAACCAGTTTACAGTAAAAATATATATAAGTGCACAGGTGATGTTTATATTAAAACATATTTTCATCTTTATGTTTAAAGATTATATAACACAAAGTTAAACAAATGTCAATCTATCAATGTTATAACAACAATAATATCGATATGTATTGCACATTGAAACCATTACAAAAAAAAGAAGTTCACATAATAAACAAATCCATCCATCAATACACAATCATGCCAAGTTAGTATGATAAACTAGACTAATCACTTTTGGCTTTAGTTTTAACTTTAATCACTTCAACTACTGCAGTTATATATATATATACACACATATATTACGATATATAATTTACCAGTGATTAGCATAGACAGCAAAAGAATGTTTATTATTATAGTGAGACAGAATAGTTTCAAATTAATTGAACTTTGAATATTCAATGGTAAAATTATGTCTTAAAGTAAAAACAGGCTTTTATTACTGTACATAATAATTACTAATCTGAGTATCTTATTACTAAATAGGAAGCTCTTGACCTGTTATTAAAATGTTTTCATTAATATATTAAAAAACTTTAAACGCAGAAGGACTGAATAATAATATCCTCCATGCATACTTACTGCCTGTAATGAAAATTGTAATATTTCTACTAGTTACTAGCGCGATATTTGGGTTACTAGTTCTAATACTACTATTAGTATTACTACTGCCACTGTACCAGCACTGGCGAATAATAGTTACAAACCTAGCAGTAATAATGGTTGGAGACGGCTTGAATGGGTAATGAAGAAAAACTTTAATATAAGTTTAACATAACAGCAAATGTACAACGTTTCGACAAGGTTTTGTCATCATCAGGTACAAATACTAGTAGTAGTAATACTACTACAATAGCAGTTGTACAAATATTACCTTTTCCCATGAATAAGATAATAACAAATACGAAAATAATTTACAAGGTTTTACCTAAAAAGTAAAATTTATTCTTTTGTTGACAAAATTTTCAGCTTAATCCAAGAAGCTAAATCTAGTTTATACACTACCAATTCACTTTATCATGCGTAAGTCACATGTAGTTTAATGCCCTCTACCGTGTTAGACAACCACATTAGACACCCAGTTTTTTTAGCGTGATATTGTTGACCTTCGGGAACTTGATAACATATCAAGTAAATGTGGTGGCATCGAAAATTTAATATTTCTATTTCTCACTTTTTATATTTCCTATATGTATAGGATGTATTACTTTTATCGTATAATGTACCTGTTAGGTATCCAATCCACCCCACCCCCCTCCCCGAACATTTATATTCCTTGTTTATTACGCATACGGGTGGTATATTCTGGTCAAACTGATTATCATGATGAGAAGGATGGGATAGGTCTGCAGAAAATAGAAAAGTATTAAATTAGATATATACTGTGAGGTAATTCTGAGTTATTTGACTTTGACTGAGTTCGTGAGAACGAAATAAGAAGATTGGATACAACTAAAATACAACAAGTAATAATACAATTTAGCAAAAAATAAGTATGATGAAGGGATGGCAACGCCAAAAGGTACAGAAATAAAGTAGGGATGAATACTAATACATGGAATCCCAAGACCTCCACTACGAACAGGTAAATGGCTGTCGGGAGACAAACTCAGTTCTACCACTCTCCAAAAGAAAAAACAAAACGATCAACAACCCAAGCACAACTTTCCTCCAAGGGAAACACGGCATCGACATACCACAGAAGAAGTAAGATCCGTTGACGAATAACTTGTGCACGAAAAAAGATGTTAGCAGGACTGGAACAAAAACATCAATAACAAAATGAACACGACTAATGACATCACCCCAAAGAACATCGGGAGAGGAAAGGAACCAAATCCCAAAGCATTTTAAAGCAGAATTTGTCCATGTCAAGCCAAAAGGAGTATCTGAGGAAGATGCCCATCGACCCAACCATCTGCCTTAGACCTGGGAAGATTTAATTGAGCTCCACTAGCCCGAGAGTACGTCTCCACCACAGCAAGAGCAGTACCAAGGGAAGACAGGTCGGATGTGAAAAGGCTGACATCATCAGCATGGCTAACATACTTAACAGACACTCCACCAGGTAAGTGGATATATAAATTGAAGAAGTGTGATAAAAATAAGACAACAAACACTCAATGGTTAAGGTACATAACAGAGGAGACAATAAGCAACCTTGATGCACACCCTGATGAATAGAGAAAGAAGGTGTCAAAAACCCATTCACCAAGACTTTACTGGAAGCTGTAGAATAGAAGGAAAGAAGATAATGCAGGAAAACAGGAGGAAACTCATACCTCCTCAAAACCAACCACAAAAATTAGTTCCAATGCCTTGCTTTGATCGAGGGAAACAAAAATTGCACTGATATTCCTGTTATCTATGCAATGAAAGAGATCACTCAGAAGCACAAGATTGTGTTGAATACTCTGACCTCTGACACCACACGTTTGGGTGCTGAAAATAAGGCTGGGCATAACCACACCCAAGTGCATACATAACACATGGGAGATGATTTTGGAATCAACATTTAGGAGAGATATGAGTCTCCAAGAAAACAGACTATGAGTGTGTAATGGATCCTTACAAATCAAGGAAATTAAACCATCCAGAGTACCAGATGGTAAACAACCACGGTTCAGGCAGTCATTGAAGACTCAAACGAACTGAGGGCCAATGAAATGCCACACCTGGCGATAGAATTCCACAGGAAGGCCATCTGGCCTTGGACACTTGCCAAGAGGCAGTGACTGAATGGCATCCCAACACTCCCCCACAGAAATAGGCTTGGTGAAGTCTTCAAATAAAGCCTGATCCATGGTTGCAAAAACTGAGTAATGTCTTCCCACAAAGTATGATTTACTAATGTAGAGGAGTACAAATCACTAAAATAGTCATGACACATTTTAAAATAACATTAATATTAGTGATCAACTGACCATTAACAGTCAACAATTTGGAAATGTGCCGATACTTCGCCAAACGCCGTGACTGACACAAAGGAACTCAATAAGAAGAGCCAGGTTCCAAAGAGTCCATTAAGTGAGAGACAGTAGCAGCCCTAAAAAGCTTGGTATATGCAACATCAATCTGACATTTAAGTCTTTTGATGTCCAATTTAACCCATGGATCATCAGGGTTACCTTGGAGCAATGCTGCTAAGGCTGATTGTTGATGCCTTAGATACAAACGATCATGACCACCGGATTCCAGCCTGCTGTAACAAGTGAGCACAAGCTTCCTTCAAATCGGCCCACCAAACATCGTTAACGAGAGGAGAAGAGCACCAATTGAGCACAAGAGCACCCAGATCCTCAAGAACCACATCATCAGTTCACAATGAGACATTTAGCCACCACACACCAGGGGCCCAAAAAATAGGGGAAAAATCCTTAAAAGTGAGAAGAAAAGCATGATGGTCAGAAACATAACTGATGGCACTTCCCACAGGATAAACAGCTGCATGAGAAACAACTCCCCGTGACAACTCCCCTGTAACATGAAAACGGTCAAGATGGCAAGAAACACCAGGACCAATCCAAGTGACAATAAAAGCAGAATCATATAAAAAACGCTAAACATCCCGAAAGTCAAAATTGGAAAGTAAAGTTCTTAGTGGTTGGTAGCCTTTAACACCCACAGCAGAAGTTCTGCCAATTTTGTCAAGAGGAGGATTAAGAACACAATTAAAATCCCCACCTAAGACGATATCTGCCCGTGTGATCAAAAATCTATCCAAGGAGTAAAAGAACAACCACTGGTCAGCATGTTGAACAGGAGCATAAACAATAACAAAACGAACTTTACGTCCATGAGTGAGAACATCAGCAGAGATGACTCTACCCTCAGCGTCATTATGGGAAGAGAGAACAGAACCTCTGAAATTGGGGTGAAATAAGATTCCATCCCCGTGGACATGAGAGGTCCTAAAAGTTCGAAGTGCTTGAACATGAAACCTGTGGACAAACGAAAAATGTTCTGACTTCAACGAAAAATGACTCTCCTGCAGAAAAATGACATCGACTCGAAATTGATTGAAAAGGAAAGTGACATATCACTGCTTTGCAGGAGTATGCAGGCCCTGGATGTTAAGAGTTAAACAGGAAAAACCCATGAAGAGAGCAAAAAGGGTTACATACATCATAAACACTGCTGTTTGGGTGTGACAGACAATGACGAAGTCGACAAAACACGCTTTATGCAACTAATAGCATTAGTCATAGGTACATCATCTGACACATTAGAGGAGAGCAGGTCTCCAGATGCCCCAGAAGAGTGTGACAACTGATGAGGGTCAATATAGGTTGAAGGTCTGAGAGGAGGCACAGCAATGGGGAGGTAAGACTTCCGGCATTGAACATCAGGAGGGGGAGATGAGACCAGAACATTGGAAGATGTGGAAACTCCACCAGAGCCAGGCAGGAGAGGAGAAGAAACTGAATCACATTCAATACAACTGGACAGATAATGTGTCGAACATGCATTTGTGTGCTCCACCAGCACCACACTCTCCACAAATGAAATGGAGGAGATACACCAGAAGAACTAGGAAGGCTAGGAAGGTCAGAAACAGATGACACAGAATCCTTTGAAGGTGACATAGGGGAAACCACTGGAGGTGGAATAACCAACATGTCACCGGGAACAGGGCACACATCACACATACCCTCAGCAGGAGACTCAATGACGACAGGATCTGGCAGGGCAAGCAGCACAGGAACAACTACAGGTAGAGATGACAGCATGGCATCAATGGCAGAGGAAATGAATTGATCCGCAGGCACATTAACAACAAGGTCACTGAATGGTTCAGGGAGTCCTAGAGAAAAAAGACTGAGAACCATCCACTTTGCTAGCATAGGAAGAGGCCCTCTGAGGGCAAGGTGAGGAATGGTGGCTCTCACCACAGATGTCACAACACAAAGTACATTTGTCGAAACTATGGCCAAAGTCCTTACACTTCTGGCAGTGAACAGTGTCACAGGAACGAAGTAGATGTCCCTCATGACCACAAGGATCATCACAGATGGCACTGGACTCTTCATATTGATCTTCATGCAATGATTACCCATGCAAACACCTGGATGAGATGGATAGCACTAGTGCTCGACTTTCAACACATTACCAAATGGAGTAAGTGCAGTAGTTACAAACTCATAAGGTATCTCAAATGGAACAGAACAAAGAGTCACCCACTTGATATTCAGACTGGCAGGTTCCACAGTGATGGACTGAATGTTGTGGCAAAACAGCCACGTCCCAATAACTTCTGGGAAACAGCTGAAGAAGACAATGTTCTAACAGATCTTCCAGAGCCGAAGTGCTGGAGACAGTCCACGACATCACCATCGAGAGAAGCACACAGGGAGTCTATAATAGCCGATGGCAAAGAGTCCGAATCGACGACAAATCTGACCGACCATGGTCATGCCAGGAAGGTGGGGAGGCAGTACTCATTCCTGTCCTCCCCAAGAATAATCCACTTAAAGTAGTTCCAAACTAACACTACAACACGAAAAAAAAATGCACGCAAAATAATATAACAAAATATAAGCAAAATCAACTTACAAGTCCAAAGAGAATTTGCAAGTTCGATGCACACGATCACCAAAAATTGTCCACACAGCTGTCAGGCTCGGCCCTGTTGAAAATTTGTAGAAAAGTAGAGTGCTGTATAATGTATTGTTTTGATGATTAAGAAACTGGTGTTTTTAAACTCAGACTTCAATAACATGTACACAGATCTTTCAGTTGCATAAATACTTGATCTCCTTGATACCTTGATTATTAATTTAAGTTATTGTTTATTTATTTATTTTTACTGAGTGTTTTGGAAGATATTATGTTTGTGCAATGAAAAGTCACAAATGGTCGTTATATAAAAACAAGTTGTGCTACCATCTAGTGACCAGAAATGAAGCTCTTATTTATGAAACATGGAAATAATATATGCTTATAAACTGAACTCATTGCTAAGTAGTAGTTTTCCTTTTTCTTATTTTCCCACAAAAATACATGTGGTAGAAGAAGAGAATA